AAGTGTTTTTTTTTTTTTTTGGCATTTACATAAATACCACCCAATTGTAGTATATTTACATATCTAACATCCGAGCTTTACTTGTAACATGTATACCACCCAAATCTTTCATGACAAATAAAAAATACCATTGCTTTAACTATTTCCTTGAAATTTAACAAAAGACCAGGATTTAGCTTAGGAAGACACTAATAAAAGTTCGTTATTGTTGGAGTAAGTTTAATTCCACTTATTTAGTTTTTGTCATAAACTATTTTAGGAGGATTTTACATAACACTCAATTCTTATACATTTACGTATCTGACACCTAAACTTCAATTTTTATATACATGTAACCTTACTTATGCTTAAGAAGGTGTACTTCACTTCTTAAAAGTTAAAAAATGAGATTTTTGATATGATATTGCGTACCCGAAATACGGTCATATGTAGTCAGGGAAGGCTTGCGCGTGGGCTCACAACTCATGGGCACCAAAGCCGCCCCCCCCGTCCTCCCGCCCGCCCCCCCCCCCCCCCCGCCACAAGAAAAACACCACCCCAAACGACACAAATTAGCAGCTCCAGGCCGCGCCGCGCAAAAACCGCAGCCCAAACGGGCCCTAAGTGATGTCAGGATCAGAAGTTAGCACTTCAAGGTTTAACTATTCCAACACCTCTTCTCTTATCATCTTCAGCATCTCCTACTTTTCTACAAGTATTTCATTGCAATACAATTGTTAGAAGGCTTAGGTTTCTAGAAGAAGCTTAGCAAGGGTGAAGTTTCTGTTGAAATAACCATTGATATGCATAGTTTTTGGCACAAAATTAAGGTTATATCTGAAACAGGTACCAACAAATTAAAAACTTTGTAGAATGAAAATAACCCAGTGAAAACTAAACATTGTTTGTGTAAACCATTCGCAAAAAAGACCAGGCCTTCAGAACAAGAAGCCCAGTTATGTGTAGCCTCTGGAAACAAAAAGCAAAACAATTCTTCTAAATTTACATATCTAACACCTAATCATTTATATTTACATACCTATCACTCAAATCTTTGACATGTATATTTACATGCTATCACTAACTTTTTAAAAGTGAAATAGACCTTTCATTCATAAGTTTTCAATACCAAGGTATTATAAAGAAAACTTTAGCTGCTAGACATGTAAATGCATAAGAATTAAGAACGGCCTGGTATGTATGTAAATTTCCCAATCATCTTATACATACAAAACGAAAGCTTTTTAAGGTCAAGGTACAAATAGCGCTGCCAAATAGGTGAGCCCTCTAAAGTCAATATTACAAAAATACTTTCTAGTTGATTTCTGGCATTGGCTTCACTGATAATCCGTAAAACCTTCAGAAACACTAGTTTAGCAGAAATCCACCTGGCCAAATACCCAAATGCTTTCAACAAGTTCATCTCATCAGTTCAGTAATCCATGATTTTCGCGAGAAAGAATCCAATTAACAAAATTCTCTATCGGCTAGTCAGAAAAAACTACTACAAACAGTCCAAGATGCCCATAATCACAAATCTGGAAGGAAGTGTTTTAAATAACATGATACCTTCCTCATCCGGGTCTTCATCTCAGACTTTTTAGCCTTGTTATAGATGCGCCTCTTCTCGGCCTGCCGAGCCCTCTTCGACGCTGAATCAGCCCTCTTCTTCGAGGCCACCTCGCAGACAACTAACCTCCGCAATGACTTCGGCTTCTCCAATGCCCTAATTGGGGCTCCTCCTGCAAAAGAACAATCTGTTTGCAAAGGAGCGCGAAGAGGATAAGACATAGTAAATTGTTACCATTGGGAAAAGCAATCGAGGTAAGACTGGTATAGAATGCTAGGGTTTTGATGAGCGGCGAGCGGTGGCGAAGAACTCCGTTGCAGCATCTAGCGCTGGATGCGACGGGAGGTAGAGCTTTCGGCTTGGTCGGAAGCATGAGTAAGGAAGCGATGGCGGCCGCCATTTTGGCCCTCACGCACTCGACTGTGTGAGCCTCCTTTACTTATCCTTCTTGTCTAATTTTAACATATATTTGACAAAATAAAGAATTTTTTACAAGATTTTATAAGATAATATTAAGATGATAGAAATTTTATAAGATCAATTGTGATGACAATGTACACTTTTCTCATTTTGCAATAAATTAATGTAAAGCATTGTTAATTCAATTTTTTTAATTTAAAATTAATTTTAATTTTTATGATTGATATTCTATTTATATGAGGACATTGTTCGTATATCTAGTTTAGGGACCTATTTTTAATAGAATAGGACGGCTTCAGTTAAGTTTTCGTGCTGTCATATGAAATTATAAGTCGGCCCAATTAAGGGTGTGTTTAGGGCGGCAGTGTCACATACACATAGATTTTTGAGTTTGACAAAACTATCTTTTATTTGTTTTTTTTCAAAATGTTGCACGTGAAAATTGCATTTTGCAACCAAACTTAGCTAAAAAGATGCGCTCTAACTTTTTAATTTTTGTTTTTTTTAATAACCACCGTAATTTTTTGAATAAACAGTATTACGACTGCTTCTTCAAACAACTACCTCAAATCATAAACCATTTACTTTCATTTTTTAAAATAGTTTTGATTTTGGTGATCACATATGGAGTATAATTCTATGTATATATTTTAGATTTAGTGTTTCGACAAGTATAATATTTTTTTTTTGGGTGCACTTACCTACGTATCATTCAATTCCTATTTATTGTCATATGTGACACCCCTATGTTTAACTTCTTACATTTATACCACCCAAATATATTATATCACATAAGAAATACCACTATGTTTACTTTTAAAACGTAAAATATATATTTCTATGCACATAAGATAGCATATATGTAGTTGATGTTTAGGTGTCAGGTATGTAAACACACTCGAAAAAGGCTTGTGCTTGAGAACAACTTATACCTAAAATATTTATTTGCGGTGCATTTACATATAAATGATGAAATTAAAATTGTAAATTGAAACTTAATAGAACTTATAAAGATGTGATTTGATGATTTTCTTATAACAATTATTTGAATAACCCTAAACATATAAATCACTTTTTGAAGGCATCCATAAAATGAACGTGTAGACGTTGTATATCTCATTGATTTGACTAAGGCTTCATTTGAGGACGCAGCGAGCTTTCGTTCGGTTCGGTTGGAGCGTATATCAACCTCTATAAAAATTTGGTTTAAAATCCTGGGAGACGAACGTCTCAGTAAGTTTTTTCGCAAGAACGGTGAATTTTTGTCGTTTCATATCACAGCTTGTCGTTGGAGGATCGACCTAGCATTTTAAAAATTTTTGGAAAAGGAATAACTTAAGCAGAGATTTTATTTTGGATATTATTAGATTAGTAAAGTGCTCCAAAATAAATCGATTAGTCCTGTCAAAATCCTAAAGAAGATGAGAATATAATTAATATAAATGTTTTACTCCTTGAGATGTGTGTTAGTTGTGCATTTAGCAATGAAAATATATAGCCTTCCATACCATCTGATACTATTTTAATAGGTAGATATTTTGCTGTTATTAGTTTTATTATTAGGAAGATTTACATACATCCCACAATTCCTATATATTTATGTATCCAACACCTAAATTTTTAGTTTCTTACCTACTTACTACCTATTTATACCTATTTATGTGAAGTTACATGCCACATTCTAAAAATTAAAATAACAATATTTTTGATGTGATATATAAGGTTTATATATGCTGAATCATAGATTGTCTGATAAAAAACACGCCTCTAGAGTTGCAGCCAGGAGGTAGATGACAGCAGAGGGAGAGAGAGAGAGACCGATAAAGAATTTTCAAGCGGAAAGTTAGGGGCAAAAGTCCTTTTATTCATTGTAGAGTCTTCTATTTATAAAAAAACCATTTGTACAATTACAGAAATGAGATAATGATTATTGAAATCACCTTCAACTACAGAAACAAGAGAGTGGTTATGGAATGCACTTAATGTGCTAACTTAACAACTCAAAAATGTGTTCGAAAATTTTTAAAGGCATAAGAATACATTTTAATATTCAAATATATTTTTTCATATTTGTGGATAAAATAATTATAAAAAATGGATTAAAAATCAAAAAAATATAAAAGTAATTTCTCTGAGTTCTCTAAAGTCAAAGAGGCTTATGAAAAATATAACAATAAAATTTTGAAATAAAATTATATTTTATAATTATTTATTAACTAAAATCAACTAAAAATTGTAAAAAATTAAAATATAATTAAAAAATTCTCAAAAATTATTTCTAGTGGTTCTTTGACTTATGTAAACCTCCCAAAAATTTCTTAAGGACAGAAGCTATGTTTCAGTTAAATTAATTAACTTTAAAAATTCCTATTTTTGGACTAAGATAATTATTAAAATTTTAATAAAAATTAGAAAAATTTAAAGTCTCTTCTTATGTTTTAATTAACTCATGTGTGGTGTAGCAACAATGTCTCAAAGTCACTTGAGTTAAATTGAGAGAATTATGAAGTGAAAAGCCTTAGGGGCAAAATAGTAATTATGAAAATTTAAGTAAATGAGTAATATTGATTATAATTAACTCTCTTAAATGATTGAAACATAAAGGGTTAAAGGGTAAAAATCAATTCATGCCATTTTATATAAAAGAGCAAAAATATGATTTTTTAAATTGTTGTGGTTTGGAAGTTAATTAAGTTGGATGAACCTATTGTGAAGGGCTTGATCTAGGTTGATGACAACCCACTAATTTGAAGCCCCAAACTAATGATTTAGTAATAATACAATCTTTTAATAAGGATTAAGGTCATTTCATTTAAACCTTTTTTCAAAATTATAAATCTACTCTTAAGATATTTAAGAGCTTAGTAGTGAGCTAGGCTTGCTCTAGAATCACTTATTGAGATTTAGAAAAGAAAACACAATCAATTATAATATCTTTAAAACACTACAAACTCAATTTTCTATTGAAGAGGTAAGGATTCCTTAATAACTAAATTTACCCTTAAGGGTGTCCACCCACATAATTCCTAAATGAAACATCAAAGCAATGCTCAGTTACCCTACTCATGGGATGATTAAAACATAAGTTAAAACACCACAACTAAATCCTAATATAACTAAGGATTATTAATTCAATAAAATGATAAGTAAAAATGAACTCGAAATGACTCAGATAATTTAAAAGATGTTTAGGGTCATGCCCCGAACATTTTTGCAATCTTTTGGATATTTTGAAGGATATTCAAACCTATTATGCTTTATTGAAGAAAATCATCCTCAAAATCTTAAAGACCCACCAATATATGACTCGGGGCCCGTTAATTCACATTTCCAGTAAAATACCCTACACTACTTATCCTACATTAATAACTCAATGCTCAAAGATTTGAGTCTTGAATAAGGTATTAAAATCCTCGTGGGCAACTGGGAATATTTTACCACATATGGATCACCGAGCTTGTGTAAGTCGAAGGTTTAGGTTGCGAGGGCAGTGACGAAAATGCTTATGTGTGCCAAGTAAGGGATACAAAGTGGGAATTGAAATAATATCTTCTACTTGAGGATTCAAAATAAAGAGAGAGGATAGATCCGATGATACTATTCACCAGTTGTGGTAGGAGTTGCCCCTAGCATTCTTAGGTTGTCGGTAGTCTTAGCTTGATTAGAATAATTAGCTTGTGAATCATATTGTTTTATAAGATACTTACAATATAAGATAACACCAATCCTTTTTTTTTACGTGAATACTTTTTTTTGCTAAAGCAAACTTCACATGCATGAAAAATTAATGAATTTTCATAAGAAATCTATAAAGGTCCACAGGCTAATCACTCAGATCGAGGTCAGGAACTGCCCTCCTTAAACTGTTGGAAAATAAAGCACACAGTTTATCTCTGAGCCTCCACCTTTATTAAATTCATACACTAAATCCAGGTGTTTTATATGTGACGTCGGGTTTTGTCTTACTCTTGTTTTCTATGACTAGTTTGGATTTTCTTATATTCGATTTTCTTACAATTTATTTAAATTTCCTACAATTATACTATGTTCATGATATTAACCATGCAGCAACAACGGGAGTGTCAGGTACACATTTACTTTTTATTTATATCAATTCTATTATTTTATCTTATCTTAATGTCACTTTATTTTACTATGATTGCTTTACTATTAATACTTGCAAAACAAGAATACACTTTCAAAAAATTTAATACACCTTTAAACCCTTTTGAACACACTTAATCTACTCCTTTTGAATTTGTGAGAATCTCTCGAATAAGGTAACCTACGGTTGCTAACGAGAATTCTCCTGTCTAAATGAGCTTAACAACCTGTTTAGGCTAAGTAAATTCGAAAGAAAATAGTGATGTCGGGACAACAGAACCGTGGGATTTTGACTGGTGTTGCTTAACTTAAATTAAAATTCTCCCAAAATGCTCTATTAATAAAACCTAACATAAACAAAACATGACATATAAGTTGCAAACCTTGGAGCTACCACAACAACAAGGAGCTTGGAGCAGACTTTTTGGGTAGCATGACGATGTCACAACACACAGAAGAACATCTTCGAGAGAGCAAATGACGTCTCCATCAGCTAAACATTTTCTAGTTCAAACAACAAGCCATAGGATTTCGAGATTGTCTGCCTAGTGCGACATAAATATTCACCTTATCCTTTAGGCTATTACACAATCATATTGTGCAATATAAGCCCTAACTCTTTTAGAATTTCGAGGCCGTCATTCGATATGTCATAAATTCTCCTATCTTTCAGGCTATTTGAATGATTGTATACCATATAAATGTAAGCTTTAAATAATAAAATCTACGGGATTAAAATATTAAAAGAACATTATCTTCAAAATTGAAGCTAAATAGTAGGATAGTTTGAGAAGTCACTGAGGTTTTCCTCAAGATTTGTGACATCCCCTACTTTCTCTTTCCTTTGGATTCCTAAAATAATTGTGCCTATTTGATCCACTCCCATTTGATTTTTCTTTGTCCAACCTTCAAAACAAAACTTTGAAATCTTTA